TTTTTTTCTCACCCCTTTCCTCTCTGGAAGGATGAAATGAGATTCTCGCACACAAATAATGGCTGGGCATTGCTCCCTTAAGTCTAAACTGTGTTGACAATCCAGTTTCTGAGCCTCCCCTGTGTCTCCGTGGCTGCATGTGACTGACCATCTCGTAAAAATAGTACAAAACAGCCAGGTTCATTATTATACTGAACTGGAGCTGTGGGACTTTCAACCCGCTGTGGACCCTAGCTGCTCTGTGGAAGAGACCCACTTCACGATTCTTCTTCCCCTAAGCTGAGAAACAGAAGTAATAAAGTCACGGTGAGTTATTTATTTTTCATTGCCTCAGATGAAATTGGACTGCGAATACACTTAGAGATTTCAGATCTTAATTGTGACTAATTAGATGCAGACTCATAAAATAGCAAAACAACCCTCGAGGCCAAATTAGAGGATGGTGGAGCTGCATTTCACAAGGTAAATGTACTAATCGAATTCATGCTCTGTGTCTGCAGCCGCGTCTGCTTGTTACCTGGCAAAGACAGGTGTGTGGGGGCAATGGGGGACTATAGGAGAGTGAGTGAGCTTCTATTCTAGCTTCTGAGGCATTCCAAAACAGAGGTTAGCTTGCTAATTTTTTTCCTGTGAAAAATACAAACTGCAGCAATGAGACCAGAATGGTCTATGCCGTGTTCTCACCCAGAGGGCGCCAAAGTGCAGACCAACAACGTCCACCCACTGAGGGAGCCACCCAAGTCAGGAGCTGGTGCAGAGGTGACTTGGATTACCTATTTTACCATCATTCTGGAGTTCCGGAGGTCTAGAATCGCCATGCTTCCTAGCATGGAGTTGCCGTGTGTGTGTGTGTGTGTATGTGTACACAAACACAACACATACATAGATTATTTTGTATATATGTGTGTATGATATTGTATACATATATATTTTTTAGATTTTCTGTATGTTATGATGTTTTGACATCTTAAAGCCCTTTCTGGCTGGGGAGAGACTGCCCTCTCCTGGAGCTACTCAATTCTTAGAACTTCTGGCTGAGCCCAAGTTCTCCTTACCTGACCCCCAGGAGACAGTATTTCTCTGCCATAACCATCCCAGAGCTGGGTGCTAAACAGCTAGGGACTACCCTTAGAGCTTAGAGCCCACCAGGATAATTCAAACTAGCCCACCCTAGGCTGCTCACCTGACTTCCCCCAAGGAAACTCCAGTACAGACTTTGGCTGAATGCTTTCCAGAGCCCCTGCCCCCTGCCTCCTGATCACTCTGGTGTTTTTTCCCATGTGGTCCTGCGTGGCGTGGTGTGCCTCCTCTTTGTAGGACCTGTGAGTATAATACACTGTTTTCCTGAGCCTCCCCTGTATCCCCTCTGTGGCTACATGTGACTGTGACTGATCATCTCATAAAAAGAATACAAAACAGCCAGGTTCATTATTATTCAGCAAATGAAATAAGCATCTTTTGAATGCTTCTATACAAAAATTCTGCAGATAATTGCCGAAAATCAAATACGGATGAAATCTTCTCTCAAGAAGCTCAAAGTCTTGTAAGAAAATAAAACAAGCACATGAATGACAAGGTCGAAAGTGGTGAATGCCACAGACCAGCACAAAGCAAGGGCAGCAGGAGTGCCTATCACCCACGTCTCTTCTAAGCCATGAACTAATCGCTTGAGACATAATAGTGAGTTTGGAAGGAAGCACATTTCCTAGTTAGCATATAGGAAAACAGTATCATTCCTAAAGAAGCCACTGAAATAGTGGATTTCCAAATGATTTGTGATTATTTTAAGGTTTTGTTCACTGATGGGTCCATTCACCTGTAACAGAACCTGGTACATAATGGCCCTCAGAAAATATTAGTTGGGATGAATTAAGTTGTTCTTTAAAATGTTCAATGGAAAAGAAGTGTGTCATCTTTAAGTGTAATAAGCACTTATAAAATCCAGTAGGTACCCCCTCCCACACACAATTTAAGACGTTTAGCAACATTAACTGAATTTGATATTTTACAAATGCCTTTATCCCTAGAAGAATGAATGATATGGATGCTTTGCAGCCTCTAACTTGATAGAGACCATCACGATGGATCTGTAACCATATATAAGAATGTTCCATGTCAAAAGATAAATCAGAGCAAAATGGAAAACAGAAAATAACAAGTGCTATCGAGGATGTGGAAAAACTGGAACTTTTGTGCACTGCTATTGGGAATATAAAATGGTGCAGCCACCACGGAAAATAATATGGAGGTTCCACAAAAATTAAACATGCAATTACCGTATAATCCAGGATTCCATTTTTTGCACATATAGCCCAAAGAACTCAAGCAAAGGTTGAACAAATACTTGTACACCTATATTCACAGCAGTATTATTTACAACAGCCAAAAGGTAGAAGCAACCCAAGTTTTCAACAACAGATGAATAGAAAAACAATATGTGGTCTGTTCACACAATGGAATATTATTCAGCCTTAGGAAGGAAGGAAGGGAATTCCAATACATGCTGTTAAACAACATGGATGAACCTTCAAGACATTATGGCAAGTGGAATAAGCCAGTCACAAAAGGAAAAATAGTGCATGATTCTACCTATATGAGGTACCTAGAGTAGTCAAATTTTTAGAAGCAAAGGAGAATGGTGGATGCCAGGGGCTTACAGGAAAAGAGAATGGGGCACTCTTGTGTAATGGGTGCAGAGTTCCAATTCTGGAAGGTAAGTTCTGGAGGTGGATGGCAGGGATAGTTCCACAACAATGCAGATGTACTTAATGCCATTAGAATGTACACTTAAAAATGGTTAAATTGATACACTTAATGTTACGTATATTTTTACTATAATTTTTTTTTTGAAAGGAAGTCTTACTCTGTCTCCCAAGCTGGAGTACGATGGTGTGGTCTTGGCTCACTGCAACCTCCAACTCCTGGGTTCAAGTGATTCTCTCATCTCAGCCTCCCGAGTAGCTGGGACTACAGTTGTGTGTCACCACATCCGGCTAATTTTTTGTATTGTTAGTAGAGATGAGGTTTCACTGTTGGCCAGGCTGGTCTTGAACTTCTGACCTCATGATTATAATTTTTTTAAACTAAAATTTTTTTAAGTTCCAGGTACACAAGAAGTGTGATATTCCAATGTGTATTAACAATGGAAGTAAAATAATCAGTAACTTGGTACATGTTCCCCTCTTCCCATGCAGTAAAATGGAAGATAAAAGCAGAACTAAGATTCATACTTGGAATTATAAGTAACCCTAGAGTTTGAAGATTAAAAACAACAGTAGGTAAAAGTAGCAAATCCTGGGGAGCTCTGAGACAAAAATCTCTAAATCTTATATTAAATGTAAAACTTCAATTTAAACAAAAGCAAAAGGAAACCCGAGTTGATGCAGAGATGTGAACAGCTCATGTTCAGTTTACAAAAAGTGCTGAGCTGGAAGTCATTGCTCTGACCAGCACCCACTAGGAGCCAGAAACAACCTGGGGTTACAATGGTTTTCAAAATGTACATATGTATGTTTATTAGCTTGGCGGGGGGAACACATGTATGAATATTTGTATTTAATAGTTCCTAACCTTCTGTATAACGTTCCCTTTAAGAAATTGAGACTAGCACTGATTTTGCCCTGACTTTTAGGGTCAATAAGCTTTATTAAGGGCAATTTAGTGTCACAGGAAGAGAAGATTTACAACCCTGATCACTGAGGAATACAGAGGACACAAAGGTAAATACATGTGATGTAGACCTATACCAAAAATGCTGTATCAGTCAGAGTGCTGCCAGGAAACAGATGGTACACTCAAATGAGGCAACCGCACTGAGGTTAATGAAGGGCTGTTTACACAGGTGTGGGTGGGGCTATGAGGACCAGCCAGAGACACTGAAACACCCACGGGCAGCAGCTGCTGGAGAGCCATTACCTCCCCTAGGACTGATGGAACTGTAAGGAGAGAGGTCACCAGGCCCCACAGAGAGCTAGAGGAAAGGCCTGTGGGGCAGTGAGCTTCACATAGGAACGTAGTCCCTGCCGACCCGTGGCCTGAGAGGGCCCTTGGTACCCCAACCATTCTGTCCTCCTGCCTCCTTCCCTCTGTGCCTCCATGAGCCAATGGGAAGCCAGAAGGTAATGGAGTTCAGCTGGGGCTGTTCATAGAGGTCAGCGTTCTGGGGTTCAGAACACGGTGGCAGGGAGGCAGGGGATCTGGAGAGTCAGACACAGAATGTTCAAAAATATCTTTATCTGTGGTTTTCATCTAGTGCTCTTAAACCAGACTCACTAACCTACTACGTTTTAAAATACAACTTGCCAAAGTCTATATTATTATTATTTAACTTCGATGTGTATCCATTATGGTTAATTTTGTGTGTCAACTTGACTGAGCCACAGGAAGTTCCTAGCCCATTTAATGTTATTTCTGGGTGTGTCTGTGAAGGTGTTTCTGGAAGAGATCAGGATTTGAGTTGGTGGACTGACTGAAAACGATGGCTCTCCTCAGTGTGGCTGGGCTTCATCCAATCCATCCAGGGTCTGAATAGAAGAAAAATGGAGAGGAAGGGAGGACTTTTTCTCTTTGCCTGATTGAGCTGGGATATTGATCTTCTTTCCTCTGTGCTTCTGGTTCTCAGGCCTTTAGATCTGGGCTGGAATCTATACCATTGGCTCTCCAGCTCTCAGACCTTTGACCTTCACCAGCTTTCCTGGGTCTCCAGCTTGCAGAGAACAGATCATAGGGCTTCTCAACCTCCACAATCACATGAATCAGTGTCTGATAATAAATTGGTTCCAGTTTTCCAGAGAACCCTGATTAATATACTATCTGTGCACTCAGGAGAAACAAAGTCATTAAATGTGAAAAAATAAGACAATTGAGTCACTCAAAAGAATCATAGTATAGTTGCCCATCATATATCATAAGTAACAAAGTATTCTAAATTATCTAAAAATAATAATTCTACAAAGAAAATGACTGGGCTTACACAAAATATTTCGTGGAAATTTTATTACTGTGTTCTTTTTTTTTTTAATTTAACCATCATTATGTTGTGCATTCATCATCTGGAGTTTTCAGTTGTTCAGAACTCCCTGTTGGCAGCCAAATTCCTGTCTGGGAAAATGTATGAGCCAGCCTTCATCTTCCACGATGACTTTCCAAGGAAGCATTACAATTAAGAGAATGTGAGTTACTCATTACCAATAACTGTACATGATGCAATATTCTGAGGATTTGTTAACTGTTGACAGGAAATCATCTACTCATAATAGGTGCTTAACAAATGCCATCTTGAATGAATGAAGACTCTTTCTCACAGTAACAAAAATGGGTCCAGGTTCCTTCATTTTTGCTCAGCAAGATGGAGCTAAGGAAACAGAGAAAATAAGTCATTAACCAAATCATTGTAACAAACCGTTCTATTCCCATTTCTCCATAACTCACCTTTCAGTTTAGGGGAACACTAACAATTGCCCCTCCAGATACAAAGAGACTGCCTCCTCTGAAGACAGCTGCCTCGCCCAAGGCCACACTTCCTTCCAGGTTGCCCCACCTCCCATGAGTCACTGATTTGCAATCCATAAAGGTCAACACTCTTGCCCCAACTCATCATAGCTCTGACAGATCGTCCCATCTTCAGCCTTCCTTGAGGTTTGGCTGGGGTTGCTGCTGACCCAATGATACAGAAGTTAAGATGAAAGCACTTAGGCAGATAGTGAGGGTACGGGAGTCCTCAGTAAGGTTTTCCTTTTAATGAAAAGCAGCTTCCAAATCATTTTCTTCTCTAACAAAGAGCAGCCTGTAAATCGAGCTGCAGACATAGACAAGCAACCTGGAAGCTTGCACAGGCGCATGATGGCAGTTGTGCCAATAAAAATATCTACCTGGGATTAGGCATGTTCAGAATGGAGGCTCCATCTTCTCTTTTTGCCAGTCACACGTATGGTAAGGAATGGACAAGATAGTCCTGGCCAGGTGGAAAGCCTATTTGCATAATAAGATTAGGGTGGGGTGACCAGCCTTCCCTGTGCAATGTAAACACACCCCTGGTGGAAGCAATCTGTGGGCCCTACATGAATCAGACACTGCCTCCTCAAGCTGGCCCATAAAACCTGCTGCAGTCAGCTATGGGCCAGCCTTTCCCTTAAGGGCGCCGATCTCTCACGAGAGAGAGCCGCTCTCCTCTCTTCTTTCTTCTGCCTGTTAAACTTTCTGCTCCTTAACTGACCCGTATGTATCCATGTTGTTAATCTTCTCAACGTGAGATGATGAGCCCAGGATTTTTACCCCAGACAGTGATGCTGCTTCCCCAGCACTGCACTCTACTTCCTCCCTTCCTGATCGTGCCTCAGCTGCTCCTCTCCTTAGGTGCTGATCTCAAGAACAACCCATAAGAAATGTCCTGCATGCCCATCTTCTTCTCACAGTCAGCTTCCCAGGGAATCCAGCAATTACCAAGGATTCTGTTTAATTTTTTGATTGCTTTATGATTGTGTGTGTTTTTTTTTAATATTGAAATGTAACATATATTCAAAACTGTGGATAAAGTCTCCATGACGATTAGTTTCCTGCATCATCATGGGGGCCAGGCTTTAGTGCCTTTTTTGTTTCTTTGTTTGGTTGGTTGGTTTTTGGTGACATGGAGTTTTGCTCTTGTAGCCCAGGCTGGAATGCAGTGGTGCGATGTCCGTTCCCTGCAACCTCCACCTTCCGGGTTCAAGTGATTCTCCTGCCTCAACCTCCCAAGTGTGTGAGATTACAGGCACCCACCACCATGCCAGGCTAATTTTTGTATTTGCAGTAGAGACAGGGTTTCACCATGTTGGCCAGGCTGGTCTTGAACTCCTGACCTCAGGTGATCCACTTGCCTCGGCCTCCCAAAGTACTGGGATTATAGATGTGAGCCACTGCACCCAGCCTTTAGTGCCCATTTATTTAATCAACCACTAATCTAGGTACTGCTGTAAAGGTATTTTGTAGATGTGATTAAGTTACAATCAGTTGACTTTACATAAAGATTACTCTTCACACTGTAAGTCGGCCTCATACAATCAGTTGAAAGCCTTAAGAGCAAAAACTGAATTTTCCTGGAGATGAAAAAATTCTTCCTAAAGACAGCAACATCATTTCCTGCCCGAGTTCCAGCCTGCCAGCTTCTCCTACATATTTTGGACTTGCCAGCCCCACAATCATGTAAGCCAATATGCTAAAATAAACTTCTTAATATATTTCTTAATGTATATATTCTTTTGATTCTGTTTTTCTGGAGAAATCTGACTTATAGTCTCTCAACATGATTGTACATTTGTCCATTTTTATTTTATGTATTTCGAGGCAATATTATTAGGTGTAAACAAATTTAAGATTGCTTCCTATTAAACCTGAAACTTTTATTACTCTGAAATAAACCACCCTTAGCTTTCATTTTGTAACTTTTGCTTTGCATAGTAGTTTTACCATTCCTTACTTTCAACCTGTCAATATCTTTATATTTAAAATGTGTCTCTTTTAAGCAGCTTGTTTAGCTTTGCTTGATATTTTTACCTTCTCTGATGAGCTTTATATTTCAATTTGAATACCTAGTCTGTTTATATTTACTGTAATTTGGGTTTAACAACCATCTTACTATTTGTTTCCTATTTTCTCTGTCTGTTCTATGATTTTTTGTGTCCTTCCTTAAGGTTTTTGGATTTATTTAATTTTTATAATTACATTTCTTCTTCTATTAGCTTGTTATTTATGTGTTTTTTAAAAACTGGTAATAGATGCAACATGCATTCTTGTCTTAATAAAGTGCTATTGATGCGTGTTTTAAAAGCACTACTGTTAATTATTTATACAAGTATTATGTATCTAGATTTGCCACATACATTCCTATGATTGCTCTTTGTTACTTCCTGAATTTCCATGCTTTGCTCTACTATATGTTATTTATTATGATCAATGCATAACATTTATTGCCTATAGTTCTAAAGGCAAACTGGCAGTGCAATTCCAGTTTTATAGATGAGGAAACCAAAGCTCAGGGAAATATAGTGAGAAAGAGTACAGCTTGGTAGCTAAAAGCATAAACTCTGGAATCCAATAGATTATTCCGCTTACTGATCTTATCATTTTGAGAAAGTTATTTCCTGCTGTAAGCTTCTCATTCTTTATAAAATATCAAATAACAATAGCAACACTTACCTCATTCTGGCTGTGAGAGTGAATTAAGAAACATTGAATGTTTCATGAGACGTCTGGCACATTGTAAGAATGATCCACATGTTCACGTTGGTTATGATGATGCCCAGCACTGCTGTAATACGCATGTCATCCACTGTTGCTGCCCTGCCTACTGTGTCCCTCTAAGGGAAACGCTGCCATCTAAAGCTTGTTGAAGGAGGGAGAATTAAGCAATCATTGAGAAAGAGCTGGCACCACTTTGACCAGGCATGACATCTGACCCAAGTGCAGAATATCAGGCAGCCTGTGTCCTTCAAAGTGGCTTGGCTTCTACAACAAATCTGCTCAAAAAGGATTACGGTGATTATCTAAGACCATCACCTCTCTTCCATTAGGATCTGAACAGGGAAGGACTGGAAGAACGGGCTGGTTGGTAGCTGTGGGAGAAATATTAGAATATATAAAGAGAAAGGGAACACTGCCCTGAGAGCAGTAGCCAGGGCACACCTGACACTGTATTCTTGCAACAAATCCTGACTACTGGGTGAGGCTGCAAGATCAAGAGGGCTTGGCCAGCACATCTTCCCAGAGTTGTACAGCTGCTAAGTGGTAGAGAGGATGCTTATTCTCAATAGTTCAGACCATGAAGACGTGTTTTTCCGCTCTGCCATTCAGCCTTCCCATCATTATCTAGGTTGTCTAGATACAATTACATAGACTGAAATATGGGACTGAGATATGCATAATGTGTGTTTATGTTGCCTAAACTTTGTAAATGGCATAAAATAAAAGCTAAATGGACTATCAGGAAGTCAGGTTTTTGTTGTTGTTGCTCTTCAGGAAAAACATTCGAATGGAAAGCATGACAGGATTAACATATCGAATTTTAATTTTTGAGATAAGTCACTAATATCCTTATTGAAATATGGATTCATCTAGACTGAATTCAATTGAACTACTTTGCATATAATTACACAGTCCTGGAAACTGTGGGGGAACGTGTGCCCAGTCAATTTCTGCTTTCTATAAATAAGAAACCAGTAACATTTAATTCAGAGAAAGTAAATGTTGGCTCATAAAGAAGCAGAATATTCCTCCTCTGTAAAATAGGGATAATAATAGTGACTGTTACCATTCATTGGACCATCTCACTCCCATTCCCATTCGGAACCCAGGCCTCCCTGAATTCCAAAAGCAACGTCCTGGAGATAAAGGAACTTCTCTGGATTGGAATTCTGGGAAATGTTATAAATGATTTAATGCATCAATGCACAATGGAAGTAGAACTATGGTATCTTAAGTCTCATTCCAAGGAGAAATCATCCTAGAGGTTGTCTACACAGTAATCCAATGGGTAGCATAATTCCATTTCTAATCCTCTTCCAGTACAAACCTAGAAACATAGACTCCATGTTTAGCAGCAATGGCTGATACTGGGAAAAAACTGAAAGCTGACTTTTTAAATATAAAAGGTTTTCTTTCATGTTGTCATATCCATTTCCTGTTCTGTCTATTTTGTATTGCCTTTATACTTGTAAATCCCTTTTCTCCTTCTGAGATACACAAATATTCTGCTGCATATTCTAAGATTTTTATGGTGGCTTATTTTTGGCATTTAAATCTTTAACCCGCCTGGTATTTCTTTCAGGGTAATGTGTCAGAATATATGTCTAGGTTTACCTCATTATATTAATGTGTTTATTCTTTTCCTAGAGTTTCTATTACACTTCATTGTTCCAAAAATCTAGTCTTGTGCCAAAACCACATATTTTGTCTATATTAATGTTATGTTTCTATATATAACAGGGCAAATCTCACTAGCTAATCTTTCCTATTTTGCATTAAATTTTTTTTTCTCAGCTCTGCTTATGAATTCATTCTTCTAGATGAATCTTAGCTTTACTTGAAAACATTTAACAATAAATCCCACTGGAAGTTTAAGTGCAATTGTGTCAACCCTATAAATGAATTTGGGGAGAACTGACATTTTTCCAATGTCATTACTGCTGCTACTCCCATTGCTACTGCAATTACTACTACTGCCATTACTGTAGTCCAGCTCCCTGCGCCTCCCAAGTAGATAGACTACAGGCACATGCCACCATGCCCGCCTAATTTTTCTATTTCTTCTATTTTTGCATTTTTCTGTTTTTTGTAAAAATGGGATCTAGCAATGATGCCCAGGCTAGTCTCAAACTCCTGGCCTCAAACAATCTTCCTGCCTCAGGCTCCCAAAATTCTGAGATTACCAGCATGAGCCACTGTGGCCAGCTTATCCTTTTTTTAATGTAGCTATAAGTCTTTTGTTTTTATTTTTTACTAGCCTTTTATATTGCTGCAAAATTCTATGTAAAGCTATTTAGGCACTTAATAGTTTGTGTTGCCATTATGAATGGAAAATTGTCTTCATTAAATATTGTAAATAGCTTTATCCTGGTTTTTAGAACAACCATTAAATTTTATATATTCATTTTGTGTTTAGCCACTTAATTGTTAAATAGGGGGAGTAATTTTCTGGGCAGAGAACCATCGTATTGTGTAAATGTTAACCAATAAAAAGTTAGATTTGTTCTCTCTCCTAATGTTGCATATCTTAATATGTCAGCTAAAATTTCCAGAACATTCAATGATAATGATGGTAGAGATCTTTCTCTGGTTATTTGGATTTTGGTTTTAGTGAGAACACATTAATATTTCATGGCCATGTATGGCTTTGGCTATTAATTTAATATACAGATTCTCTCTCATATTGAGAAACAATGCTCATGTTCCTTGTTATGCTGCCTGCTTCTCCTCTCCTCTAATAATAATTAAAATAATAGTAGTAGTAGTAGTAGTAATGATGGTAGTACTACTAGTAGTAATG